TCGTTGGGCTTCAGTCAATAAAAATGACCAGTTCTAAATGGCAAGGCGCCCTAGTAAACTCACACCAATAGAAATACACAGGCACTATATCCTCTTGCGGGGTCCATCCCGTGTCTCCACCACCTCCATAGAATTCGACCAATAGAAATATCGAACTGCGAAAAGATGGCTAAAGTTATTGGTATTGCTCTTTTTAAACACATGCACATTATATTTTGACAACAACGTCAAATCTTTGGCTGTAGGTGACGTAATACAGCTATTATTGTTTGAAAAAGAGCGAACTACGTTTTCTCCTCGCTTTGTTACGCGGGAGTGATGTGCCCACGCGGCGACGCGGCTCCGTCGGGGAAAGCGCGTGGCTCGCAGCTTATCTCGCCGCGAGAACGATAAGGAAGAGGATCTTGAAAAAACGTGCTTTTTCTCAAAGGTTATGGGAAACTCTCAAAGTGCCTTGGATTCGCCTCAGTGGCTCGTAGCATCCACAGCAGTCGGTTGTTAGGTGACACGGAGTATAGCAGTAAGTGCTCAAAGGCGCCAAGAAGATGGCAGCCAATGAAAACTCCCAATGTTCTCGCTGAAACATGAAAATCGATAATGACATTGAACTGGACAAAAATAAGTTGTCATCTGGTTCTAACGCCTAACATTACATTTGGGCGAAGAACGACTGCTGGGCAATGCATTGTTTAGCGCTTTTATTTTTTTAAAGGGAGGGGTACCGAAACCCGGAGTAGGTGTCGCTGGCAAAGTGACCTCTAATTGCCTTGACCATGCAGGAGGGCAGTGGTCGCCTGTTCTTCTGTCCAAGTCTCCGCCACAGCCAAAGCACACACTGCCTATAGGCAGCGAACCGGAAGCGCCTGAAACAATGTCCACATTTATTGAATGTAAGGAACACCCACCAGCCATACACCTGAGGCAATGACCAGACTAATCAGATGTAATAAGCAATATTCGCTACTCTGAAATCTACACCTCCCTTGTGATTGTTTCCCCGGAAAAACCATCATATATTATGGTTCTCTTTTATGTTTCCTTTCGCTGTGCATGTGATGTATTTGCAAACAAACAAATGATCGGCACAACTAACTATACACCAACTCATGTTTATAAACAAACTGGAGCGCCCCTAGCAGACGCCACCGGCGCCGCGCATGCGCAATGGAGTGTGGGCAAGAAGCTCGCCTTTGCCCATAAACAAACCATTAAAATGCGATGTTGCCGGCGTCTGTGTGGCTCCCCTTGTATTTTTTTTGCGTTTGAATAGTTGACTACGTTTTCCTTGCAATGTCTGACTTCTTGAGCACACTCTAAAAAAAAAAGGGTGTCATGGGGTACACCCATAGGGGGTGTAAGTGCTTGTCACATATACTACACCCTTTGGGGGAATACATGTGCACCCCAAATATGGGAGTACGTATACACCTGTTGGTGTGGTGCACATGTACACCCTTTTCTACAGAAATCTCACTCGAAGGGAACACAAGTGCACCCCATTCAATGGTGTGCGGCTACACCTCTTTCTACACCCAATGAGATGAAAGGGAACACAGATGCACCCCATTCGATGGTGTACCATTGCACCGCTTCATACAACCGCCTCACTCAAAGGGAACACAGATGCACCCCGCTCAATAGTGTACCATTACCTCCCTTTCTACACCTACTGCTCTCAAAGGGAACACAGGAGCACTCCGTTCAATAGTATACTGTTACACCTCTTTCTACACTCACTGAATTCGGAGAGAACACAGATGCACCCGATTCAAAGGCGCATGGTCACACCACTTTATGCACCCGTTTCATAACTTCATAAACCTATTTAAGACATCAAGGAAAACAGTAAAAAATGTATGCGCCCGGTGATTGCAAAGAGGCAGGAAAACGGACACACGGTATTGTTTTCAAATCTCATAGAAGTTTATTAGACGGCCTATTTCGTAAACAAGTACAAACTTGCAAGCAATCCGTCATATCTGAAGACGTACAAAGAAGCTGTTACACAACTGAAATGATTACTAAGCAAACAAGAACCGGGGGTAAGTCTTAGGTAGTGTCCATTCTGCCAGCAGCCGGTAAAATTATTTCCACAAAATTCCACCGGCAGTCGCCATTAATTCATCGAACGACGTTTCATCGACAGCTCAGATTAGCTTTTCTATATTAGCTTCTCTCCTTTCTTTTCGTGTGATGAGCCGCCCCAGAATGTATCCGCGAAGTGACGTGTATGGGTGGCACAGGTGGGTTAACATTTTCGCAATGAGCCGTCGCATACTGTCGCCACGAAGTAGCGCGAACGGGTGGGCTGGGTCGGTGAGCACGCGCCTCAGAGATACACGCGCGACAAAATGTCCCTACAGCGTGCATTTTGCGTAACGAGTGACGATGAAACGTTAAGGCCCGTTCACGCTCTTGCGACCGAGTACGACTGAGAAATACCAGACCGGTTTGTAAGCCTCTTGCGATCTCTTAGGACCTGCTCGGTAGCATCGCATCCGGTCCTAAGAAGTCGCAAAATGCTTAAAAGCCGGTCTGGTCTCTCTCGGTCTTACTCGGTCGCAAGAGTGTGAACGGCGCTTTAGTGTCGATGAAACGTGTCTACAAAACGTGTATCGGCAAAAACGTGTTTTCACAAAACGCCAGGAGAATAAGAAAGTCAGTATTCTATCTGCGATTGTCACATGATTGTAGTCAGCTAATGGCAGGCGACTGCCGATAGAATTTTGGGGAAATTATTCTCCCGGCTGCTAGAAAATAGACACTGGCTAATTCTAGAAGTAATCCGGAACGGAACGGTCAATTGTTGCAAAGGAGTAGGTTGCAGAGCACTTACGATGAAACACCGGACTCGAAATATGTAATCCGAAATATATGTCGACACGGGCACTGCAGAACAACACAAACACTAAAACGAAAGGAAAGGGGTCCGTGAAGATCTAACACAATGTAGCAGAAGCAGTAGTTCGCCGAACCGAACACTAAACTCATCACAAGAATTCCTTGGGCGTTTCTGAAGAACTCGCTTGTTGCCGATATACTCGTAGGACTTTTCAAGCACTAAAAATCTTGGCACACTCGAATAGGCCCCTTTCAAAAAATCTGGCAACAGCGAAAATCCGCTGAACGAGTCCAACAACATTGGGCGGCCGGCGCCATTGGGAAGGACTCCGTTGCGGCCGGCATAGTTGTTTTGACTGTAGCGTTCTTGTTTCGTCGATCCCTTCGCCTCTGTATGGCTGCAGGTAGCGTTTTCCCGATCAAGGGTTGGGTAAACGACCTTTCCCAGCTCCCAGCCGTTAAAGATGATGAGGTATGTCGCTTCTTCAAGAGCCGATCGGAGTCGGAACGACAATTCGACAGAAGTTACAACTTCGTCGTTGAGGGGTTCGTGGTCGCCGCATCTATAAAGGCCAACTACGGAAGAAAAGGGTAATTACCATGATCTTTGTAGTTACGGAATCAAACATGTGTTAGTATGCATCAGAAAATGATAGGAACCGGTTATAATCTACGGGCTGTAGTTAGAAGTCACCAGTACACTCTAAATGTGATTACTCATGACATGCGGCACAAAAGTGCATCTTTTGTGCCGCTTGATTTATGCGTAATTATGTTACTCATGCGAACGTTACTCATCCCATGAGTAGCAGGACGTTACCCATCCCATGAGCAAAAACGGTTTCCTATGTTTAAAACCTCCTCACCACTCCCCCCCCCCCCCCCCTTACGTGCGAGGGGGACCAGTGAAAGAGTGGCGAGAAAATTTTCCCGCCTTTGAATGTTTCTTGCAGGCCTGGATTTAAGAGTAGCGCTGATCCCCAAGCTCTTGTGAGGGTGCTACTGGGTTCGGCATGCTGTCAGCTTGCCCACCGGACCTGGGAATTAATATACCTATCATTTAAAGATGACGCGTGATCCTCAACCGCAATGATGACGAAATTCTTATAGCTTGCTCTCCAAATAAACTGGAAATGGGGACGCAGTAAGTTGCCTGGCGGTTCGATGGCAACTTTATAGTGAATGCAGAGAAGCGGGATGAAATCTATTCGCCAACAACCTCCCAGGTGCCAGACGGGCTTGCTGGAAGGGCAAAAATAACTGTTTGGCATGAGAGAAGCAATACTCAACTTGAAAGAACTTTATTCCAAACAAATTTTATCACATCTCGGGATGATATGCTTGTCGCAATTTCTAACTTAGAACTACACCCTATTTTACTCAAACGAACTTTGAAATAAAAGTACTAGAAAATTTCGCAAAGGAGGAAGATCTGTACTCTTGTCAAGAACCAGAATAGCGCTCAATTTGTTAAGCTACTTCAAATACCGTTTGCAAGCACTTATCAGGGAGCAGAGGCGAGCTGATTGGTAACCTCTGTCGAACCTTGACCCCCGTTTTACAATGAATGTTTGCAAAAACCCTAAAAGCTGCCCATAAGAAGATGGATAGCTCAAGTTCAAAATATAATAAACACCCAGCAGAAGGACAGACGCCTTGAGGTCGGAGCAGGTGCTTGGTAAGTTGACCACCTGGGGACTGCTTCCGGGACAGAGAATACCCTTTGTTTTGTACCCCAGAAAGGCTTTCGGTCCTGGGCATCCCCTCTCAACTGTCGGAACGTCTTCCTGGAAACAAAGTGCCCAAAGCTCTAATAAAATAGCTGCTACCCATCTTCACGCTCTCACTCTATAGCTGCGCTCAGCGTCAATGTGGGCTTAAATTTAATTATTTTGATTCGAAGTCAGTTAAAGAGCATTGCTTTTTGGGTAGTCAAATGGCCGAGTTATGGGCGGTATTATCACTGAGCAAAAAGCAAAATGTCAGTATGATAGCTTTGAACCCACAGTCTTAAAAAGTATCTACGCGACTATACTTCCCTGCCGAGCACTGGGTAAGTCTATTACCGTGGTCCATGAAAGACATCTGACGAATGACAATGCCGCAGGTATGCCTAGACATAAAAATGATGCCTCTCATGGGAAACTGAGCATGACTGGACAGGTAAATCGTCGTGCTCAGTATCCCAATGCACACTTCATTTTCACGCTAAGCATATTTGCGATCTTTTGATTCATTGAATTCATTTCGTACATCACGCTGGTTTGTCCACCGAGCACTCTGCGGGAATGTAGTCGCGCAGCTATTTTTAAAACGCAACGAGGATTGTATTAAATTTCATGTCAATGCAAGCCCCCATAAAAAATGCTTGTTCCTAATACCGTGTTTCTAACATGGCCATTACATGAAGCGTTTATCTTATTAGTAAATTTGACTGACCGTGCTCAAAGCATCATCGCGGGATGATCTTGACCGCAGAAAGGCTTGAACGTCCATCAGTGTTGCTTGGCGTAACCCGTGATCCTTGCCGAAGCCCTCCAGTATGCTGGTGCACACGCCTTTCATGCTTGTAAAACTCATGGCGAAGTGCAGCTCGCATTCTGCCAGCAGCTATCCAAGAGAGTAGACAAAGTTCATTCTTACGGTAAACATAGTCAACAATGCTCTAAAAAGAGCAGCCTGTATGATTTGGTCGGCGTGCGTACTAGAATGAAATAGAAAATGCTCACTTACGCATTCAGCATTCAAGAAGTAGACTGGAAGTTTGTCCAAGACGGTGCCTTTCCTCTCTTCAAATGTCACTTTGAGGAGCTTGACTACATATGGCACATTTACTGAGGCTGGGCACTTGACAGCAGAGTCGATGGACTGAAAGAGGGAGGGGGGTGTGAGGCATTGAATGCTGGAATGCACATAAGAGAGCCAGAAGACAAATTTACCTCCAGTTCCTTGAGAGCATCTGGGGTGGACTGCTGCGCTAGAGTGTCTACATCATACTGATCCGCTCCATTGTTTGCCTGCGCCTTGTCTTTTTTTTCTCGTGCGTACCTCATCTTTCGCCTCGCTGTTAACCGGCACATGAATACACTCTGCCAGAAGTCAAAACAGATGTTTTAGGAACCCTCCCTGATACCATTCGAAGCACGGGGCAGTGGTAATTAAACAGTTGAAAATGTATTTACCCAGAGACGTGTCTGTCTCGTTGAGAGCTTGGTCCCAGGTTTCAGTCGGTCCCAAAGCATGTCCGGGTATTTTTGTGCCAAAGTTGACCCAAGCAATGAATATTGCACTCTTCTAAGTGCCGTATTGGCCTCCTTAACGAGATTGTTTTCACTGTACGAAAAGAAATGCAGCAAAACTAGAACACTTTTCTTTAACAGCTTTGCAATATCAAACTTGTAACCAATAAATACGGCGCATGAATCCGGTGATCAATAATTTCGGTGATCGATACATACGGAAATACAGCAAATGAATTATATTGGCGTCTCGGTAAGACAAGAGAAGGTCGGCAATGGCGGCTGTAATCGGGCGCGTGTGTAAAGCGTCTATATATTGCAACGCAGCGCACTCCGACGCGCGCGCGCCATCGCTACGTCACGCTAGCAAGCCGCCGGTAGACGACGAAGCACGCTGGCTGCACCGTGGCGCCGGACTATAGACTGCTTGGCTTTCGCCAGCGTGTCGTGACGATGCCGACGGAGCGCGCTGAGTCGGCTCTTGGCGCTGCGTAGGCACGACAGATCAAGAAGCTTGAGCTCTAACCAAAACCAGCCAAAAGAATAGCGAAACAGATGAGGCGAAAGCGTCGTCACTGAGCTCGAAAAAGCCACTCGTGCTCCTAATGGAAATAAGTACATCGGGAGCGCACTCGGGTTTCGGTCGCCGAAGGTGCTCCTGTCCGCTCAGTGAATCGTGCGCCGGCCGAACGCGCGCGCTCCGGGACAGAGTCTGAGCGCAGCAACGTGAGACGCGGTCAAGACCAGCCCTGTTTCCACAAACTGACTCACCTAAAGTCCCGTGCTGTGCTGGTGGATGGCCACAAATCAAGCACCAACCGGCCGGACAGTCCGCATATCCAAATGCGTCCTCACGGGTCACAAAAGCCCCACACGAGCAGTCCAGGGACGCGCAGGAGCCGCGAGTGGTGCCGCCGAGGTCGGTGTTCGTTAGGCCTGGCCTGACTGACATTGTACAGGCTGCCTTGTCAGAGGAGTGTCTGTATGGATATACCGAGGTCAGAATAACAAAAGCGAATCCAAGGATTATGCCGCTTCGTACTCACCTTTCTTGAAAAAGTTATGCCCGCCGCAGCGGTCCCCGATCTCCAAAAATTATAGCAAACAAACGTCCCCTTCTCGGAGAGTTTCGCTTCCCGGCACCCGTGTTATTTTCTTTATTTTATTTTTTGCTTCCATGGCTGCTCTTTGTTCGTAGACGACTTTTCGCGAAAAGCTAGATTTAGCGGCATTACATTTTGCAGGTCTTCGTGGTCCGCATGAGGAACAATGCGAAAGCATGGGTAACGATTCGCGAGTGAAGCGCTTCGTTACCCATGAAGCTCTCGTTTTTCACGTGTTACTCATGAGGCAGCTATCTATTCCAGTGCTTCGGAAATAAATCACAAAAAAGAGGTTTGATTTTGTTACTCATTACCATGAGTAACAGTGTGCGCATCAGTAACAACATGAGTAACCTGATTTAGAGTGTACTCTCCGGATGTGCGACGAAACAGGCGCAGTGGTCCCGCTTCGCTGTCGCTCGGACAGTCGCGCGATGAAGCACACCGCCTAAAAGCGACGAGCGAGCGACCAAGGCGATGAGCGTCGTTTTCTAGAAAACCCAAACCAAGCGACGCGACAAGCGACAGTGAAACATTTTCGTCGCTCGTAGCCGACTTTCGTTGCTTGTGCATGCCGTCGCTCGACTCGTCGCTCGTCAAATCGCGTTTTTTACTTGGTATGAAGACTTAAAATTTCAATGCGCAAATTAACCAGTAAAAAACGTATTCGACGCAAGTTCTTACTTGATACGTCGAGTCCCTTTTTCTTGAGGGGGATTTTAGAGTTGAAATGTAGAGCAGCAAATTTTGCAGTGAAGCATAAGTTGTAAGCGCGTGCATGTTGCGTTGCATAAAGCACGCGCTGCACAGATGTCTGCGCTACAGGCAGGTTAAAGCGTCAGGTCGTATGGCTTCATGCGTACCTAACATATAATTTACACGCGCAAGTTTGAAGCACCGCGAGCTCGTGCATACCTGAAGCTAGGCGCTCGCGAAGCTGTCACGTCCACAAGCGATACCACGAGCAACATTATATTTTTATTTGACGCTTTGATTTCTTCAAACTAGCTAGAACTTGAAAATTCTACCTCCAAACGCAACAAAGTGCGATTAAAAACACCTGACTCAAACACCCAAAAAGTGTAGCGTGGGAACGGTTCGTGTTCCGTTTTTGCACTTAAGCAGGGAAACGTTTGCGCGGCTACGCCGCCGTCAACCGAGAACGAGTACATTTCCGAATACGTACCTTAATGCCAGACTTGTCCAGATACCCACTCTGCTTACAGAGGGGTACGCAGCAGCAGCGCAGCAGTACGTTGGCATCGTGGGCAGGAATTGACTAGCGTCTACGGCCAACGCAGCGTATGCAGCGGCGCGCACTATCCTGCAGCATGGCGGCTGCCGCTAGTTGCTGTTGCGTACGACAGGTGGCGCTTTTTTCTCTGATGGGTCTATACATCGTCGCGGACAAAATCTACGGCAGCCCCGCTGGTCGCGGCACAGCGCACAAGAAACTAGGCCGGGAAGCACCGAGATAAAAAAAAAAAAGTTACTAAGTCATCCGTGAAACCTTTACCTTCTTTCATGCTTTCAGCTTATGGAGAGAAAGAAAAAAGAAAGGAGTATGAAAATTGCAGCTCCTTCAAGGCCAAAAGGGGGTGCCCCCGCAAAGGCTTACCTTCAGGGGCAACCCAACAATGAACACAGCGAAAGGATTTGTCACTTATATCCTCTTGAAAGTTCGACCCAAAGTTAATAGTGCAGTGGATGCTATCCGTGGCCTTGGCCTTCAGGCAGGTGCCGTGCTCTGCATTATCTCTAGCTTGGAGACTATAGTCACGTGATACTACCCGGAGACCCAATTGGCCTAAAACAAGCATAGCTCCCACTCTACTGTCAATACCGAGTGAATGGGATAGCTCCATACTTCCTAAGAAACTGCCAAACCCAACAAGTGACCCCCAAAGGGGAATCCAAGCACAAGCTGATCGGGACGCGCGGCTAGCGTGGGGGTGCACTGATACACCTAGAGGTTTTTAAGGGAGAGGAGGATGCTCATTGTCGGTGTACAAGTACACTGGCTGGGAAACGCAGGGTGCATCTTTTAGGAAAAGGGTGCAGGTGCGCCCGATGCACCCGACTACACCCTTTTTTTCTTAGAGTGCAGCCTCAAGAACCGACGAGAGACAGTAGTCCAACTCTGACTCCATGTCAGTCTATAAAGCCACGTAACATCTATTCTCCCGGCAGCCAGAAGAATAATTTCCCCGAAATTCAACCGGCAGTTGACTCCCATTGGACCATTGACTGTCGCCAAGGGAAAGCGGAGGCGAAGAGCGGGGGGTTAACACTGGCCCGAGGGATACACGCGCGATAAAGTGTCCCTACAGCGTGCAATTCGCGTAACGAGTGTCGATGAAACGTCAGCGTCGACAATACGTGTCCAGGAAAAGTTGTCCATGAAACGTGTTTCCATGAGATGTTGGAAGAACAAGAAAATCAGCATTCTACCGGCACTTGTATGATTTCAGACAACCAATGGGAGGCGATCGTCGGTAGAATTTCGAGAAATTATTCTCCCAGCTGCCGGGAGAATAGACGCTGTCATAAAGCTACCCGTCCTTATCCTTGGCCCGCGGCTTGGGAGGCATGGGCATGGAACCAAAAACGCACGGCAAACAAGAAAAAAGCAGACACGCAAAGCGAAAAACATTCAAAAGCAGTTGAACGCTAGTGATGATTTCTATTCAAAGCTATCACGCCGCTTCAATGCGTACGCAAGAAAAACGGGGGCCGAGGCAGAACAGCAAGTTTCGCGACCGGTAACACGAAGTTGTACTCCCTCGTTCGAGGTTGCCCCCATGTTTCTTTCACCATAGTGGCGCATGTTCAACAAGGCCAGCTGTAGCACACTTGGATCGAGGCACAGCCCCTCGAAATCCGGGTGGCTTGTCACGCAGCTCTGCCGGCCCTGCTGCTTGCGAACGGCGGCCGGGTAGTCACGGCAGCAGACACACTCTGCGACGGTTTCCATCGGCACGCAGCAACTGCATTGACACCTTAAAACAGAAAACCAGCATCAGCTATACATATGAGAGGTATAATAAACAGCTCATCACCTACCAGTTGGTGTTCCCAAGCCGCTGGGTTGCGTCGTCGGTTTCGTCGTCTTCCTCCGGTGTCGACATTGAGCATCGCAAACTGTCGTCCGAGTCCGTCGCGTTCGAGGCATCGGCGTCGCGCGTAGGAGTGGCGTCGTAGGAGATTGAGCTGATATCTGCCGTCCGCCGAAGTATTTCCACCTCCAACGGTGTTAGATTTGGCAGGTCCATCTCCGCACGACGCAAGACCCGAAGTAAACAAAATGAGTCCCAACGAGAATCCATCAAATACGCGCACATTCGGAAGATCACTCCGCCGGTTCGAAGGATCAATCCGCCGGGAAGCCGTCACTCGTGATTGGATGGCGCACGCCCTCCCCTGCTGCCTTCCCGTCCGACAGCGCCCCTGACGGCGTGCGCCTAGGCGCAGAACAGCGATCTTTGATTGGATTTTTAATAGGGAAATCGGCCGCTCTTGAATGTAATTTTGGGATTTCTAGGATGCTTAGAGCCCGCAGATTGAGTTATGACAATAAATAGACGATCTCAGAATCCACTTGAGTGCCCCTTTAATATCAGTGTCTTTCAAGCTGTAAGAGAAGGATAATAATGCAAGAGGTTTCTGCATTTCGCGAACATACCTTCGAGCAACAAAGCCAGATCCGGTTGATTTCATTGTTCCACGGTGATCCAGGTCGAGACAGTCATCAATTGACATCCCCTTCAGTTTCGACGTATACTCGACGTTTTGGGGTCGTTAAATGGGGCATTGTGTCAACGTTTAAATAACGTTATCACTTGACTTCCCGTCCAATTCAGACGTGCACTCGACGTTTTAAGGTCGTTAAGTGGGACGTTATGTCGACGTAAAATCCACCTAGTTTCATATTACATCGAAGGGACCTGACGCTCAGACTTTTGACGTTCTTTTGGCATGTAGTTCGTGACGTCATCGACGCTCTTTCGACATATTTTCAACGTTTCTGTGCTGCCTGGGGGGGTAGGTTACTCATGAGACCTCCATCAATGGCAGTGCTTTCGAGGATAATGTCAAACCAAATTTTGAGATTAGTACGCATGTTTATGGGTAACGACCTGCGTATCAGTAACACTATGCGAAACCGGATTTAGTGCGTGCAGTCTCTTGTTTTTACTTCGAGCAGAAAAAGAAAGAATTTTCCAACGCGTGATAAAGAAACGGCAGCTGTATTTCACTCGCGACTTCCTCACGACACCACGGAAATCGTACTTTGGTGACGTCAACAAACCCGGAGCATTGACGGCGTCCACTGCCCAGTGTGCCCAGCCCGATAGAAATTTTTCTCACTGTTGCCCGACTTCTTGAAACTTATTTCATTTCAGCCATAAAATTATTATAATGCGGGACGTTCAACTTGCTCTAGTGTCTACGCGACTGCCTGGAAGCAAAATGAAGCAGTCACCAATCAGTCTACTTTTGCGGTGCTCCTACGCATTCCTATGAAAAAACGGGCGTGCATTTTGACTCTTTGCTGGGAACTAACATAAATAATTTTTGTTAGTTTGGTCGTACCGAACAGCATGTACCTGTATTATCATCGTAAAGGTGTACGATGGAATTTATAACGGAAACGCGTTCCCAAAATCAAAAGGAACGAGTTCCTCTTTTTAAGGGACGTGTACAACAGTGGCTTGATGCTATGAATTTGAAGAAAATAAAAAGAAAAACGATGTAACTGGCCAATATTTTTATTTATGCGATTGAGAAATGCTCCAAGCTATTTGCAGCATTGGAGTTATTCGTAATATTTGCTTTCTATATTGAGCGCTGGGGGAAAATGCACCCGCGTTTCTCCGTAGAAATGCATCACCGGAAGTAAAGTTTTGCCTGGTTGCTGTCTGTTTTAATTTGCAATTAAAGCCTCTCGACAAGGGAGTTTTTTTTCCAAGTATCGCCAGTC